ACACCCTCCCTTCCCATTCCCACAATAATGGACAAAGAGACATTGACAAGAAGAGAGTATTGTGCCGTCGTTCAGCGGACATCGGGTACGTCGCAGGCAACACGTCCAACTTATTAAAGCACTTGAAAAGGCACCATGCGAGCGTAAACATCACTGCAACTAGGAAAAAACAGACAGCCTTTTGTTAATAATTCTGAACGGGCCAAAGCCATAATAAATGCCATTGAAGTTTTTATATTGACAGAGGGAAATATTAATAGTTCTGTGATGAGACTATACTGTCCCAGATGTGATTAGCTTTATTATGTGCTCAAAGGGCATTCAAAAAAAAAACTGTTGGCTTAATAAACTAAAAGGTGTCACTGTAATTAAAAATTAATATTTTTACATATAAGCTATATTAATTACTTCATTTAATTCTAAAATGCTTTATTTCATTCATGTCTTTTATTTATTGGAGACTCTTTTGGTTGAAGGATGCAGCATAAGTTTTTTATACAATGTTTAATTTAAAATGTTATTAAAAAATAACCTGACCAGGTGTACAAGTCTGAACTGTCGATGTTGCACTTAGCCCAATGTGTAAAAGGGAAATTCTAAATGTTCCTAGTAAAGAAAAAAAAAAAGTGTTGCATCAGGTCCCTTTGCTGTACCGAAAATGTACCGAACCGAAGCTTCAAAACAGCCCGGCTCAACTGATCCCGTCTCTCCTTTGTAACGCCTCTGTTACTACCTGGGTAAAAATCACGGCTCGAAATGTCACTTAGAATAACAATCTGAGCCCGTCAGTGACATACCGTTTTTTTTGTGGACTCACTTTGCATTTGACCCAAAACATGTCTGTGATTAGAGCTTCATGGCTGAAAATCTACTGGAGCGATCCAAACTTACATCATCATTCAGTTCGAATAATACGAAGATTAAGACTGAGATTTGAAATTACAGAATGACCTGTGTGTATTTTTCTGCAGATGGAGGAAACACTGACCTCTGCTTGACAGTATAGAAGTAGATATATGTATGTGCTGCTCAACAGACACCTCTCTAATCCCTCCTAACTCTGCAGGTCGACAGCAGAGCTGCTGATGTTTTCATCGACTCAGGTAACTCCTCTGAATCTCTCGGAGTCATTCATCACTGCAGAGATCCGCAGAGGGACCTGCAGGCTGTGTGTGGCAGAGCGCTGAGCAAGCAGGTGGGCTGAGCAGGGTGACGGAGGGTCATGTAGCTCAGCGGTGCTCTTTTCCTGTAAGGCTGGCTCCCCAGGAGGAGCAGACTGATTGGTTCAATTCAGCTTCCTGTCTGTGTCCTCCAGCAGGGAGGACACAGCTCAGCGGGCCTGAAGTCAACCCGACCATCTCACAACACACCGGTCTGCACGGCACAGAGTAACTGCACCTGTCCACAGCTGGAAATGTTCAATTCACTCAAAGTAAACTTCTTATTGAGGGCTCAATCCTTCTGCATTTTGTAGAAACACCAGGAACTAACTAATCGATGCAGGTTACCGTCAACAGCTATGCTTCAATGTCCTTCCCTTTGACTCTTCGATGTACAGACTGCAGGAGCTGGAGATCAACACAACACACCCAACCGTTGAACCACAGTGTCCATTAATTTGTGATTTTTAAAATGCATGATAACAAACAAAAGATTGTTTACTACACCTTTAAGTACTCCAAAGAGAAAACCAGACTCAAAATGGTAAAAGATTTGCTCCCGCTCAGACCAGCTGCAGAGCTTTAGAGGAAACAGATTAAAAAACTGCAACACCTGTGACCTTTGGGAATAGAGGTGTTTCATAGTGTAAAGACACAGAGGCTTAATGATGCCGATGTCCATGTTGACTTACATATCGGGTCCATAATCACAACCTGTCCTTCCCTGATTCATCATTACCCAGTCGCCTTAACATTCTACGGGGAAAGAAATCCACAACCAGCACTGTTTAGCAAAAGGTTAAATGACCCTGAGCCTTGATCATTTCAGGAGGACTGCTCCTGAAATCCTCCTGATCTGGTTTTTCACCCTCACAGAGGAAACAATCCCTGACAGATGACAGATCCCTGAGTTTCCTGCAAGTGTCTGAACTTTTTTTTTGTCACATCTTACATAGGTGTCGTCAACACCCCCCCCCCCCCCATCTGACTCCCGCTGTGAGGTGCATGTGTAAACAGCCAGATCAGGAGAGTATCCGGCATAGTCCTTTTTAAATTATCTAGAAATTGTCAGGAGTGCCTGTGTGAAAACGTCTGAAGACATCCTCTTAACAGCACGGTCAGAGTGTGACTACAATTTCCCAGCACCAAACTAAGTGAGGAAGTCTGCTGTGGCAGCACAAAATGAGAATAAGATCAATCTGAGACACTGAAGTATTTTCACAGGATATTTGTGTGCAGTAACTCCCTCTGAGATTGGTTTAAAACAGTCACATGAAAAACCTCAGACAACTCGTTGTGCCTTTTTGTGGTTCACCACGTTGTTTACATTTCTCAGTGATCTGTGCAGGAGAAACAGCTTTATAATCCTCCTTTCACATACAGAAAGCAGTGCTGCTGTTAAGTCTCCGGGTTTTCCTCTTGGTTACCCTGAGTCTGTATGTTGTCCTACCACTGACACAAAGATCGACTTCATCATTAGGATCAACAACCTCAACACTCCAGGCCACAAATAAATGATAAGACACTGTCAATCATTCGTCTGGGCCAGCGGGCGAGTTATAATGTCGAGCCCTGCTTCAGTATTATCTAATCCAATTCATACACACATTTATACGCCGCAGACAACACAGCAGGAGCAACTTGGGGTTAAGTGTCTTGCCCAAGGACAGATTGGACATGTGGCTGCAGGAGCTGGTGATCGACCTTTCTTTTTTTCCACCACTGAGCCATTGCCCTGTGTGACCTTCTGTGTTCATTCACAGATTTCATCTCATACATCAGTGTCAATGAGTGCCTTCAGACGGACTTGAGTATTCTGGTTTTGATGAGGTTTATTAAGCACCCTGTTTTGTGTCTGTGCATGTAAACATTCACAAACATAAAGCCCTCATCCTGATTTTGAGAAAACCGATTTTGCTACCAAGATAGAAAACGGGATACTGCGGCATGTAAACGCCTCATCCTTCTTCTGGAGCGACGAACAAACTAAGTGTTGTCTTTAAAATCAAAAAGAATTGGAAGTTTAGATTGGAGAAAGCATGGAAATGCTGACCTATTCTATTCTGTGGTGGACAGGCTGCAGGACGTCGGTTTCCCAACACGTTTCCTGTTAATGGAAAGGAAGTGGAGACGCCAAATCTGCAACACAATGTTGGCGTCTAATAGAGCTAAGCCAATAAGGCACAGTGGCCTAATTTGTGTCGGATTTCTACATTTCCACGGTTTGCGTTAAATAAGACGCTGTAATCAGAAACTGGGATTCTCGTATTTATCTTGACTAAAGGGACATGAACAACCAGGTTTCTCTGTGTGCATGCACAGAAACGCCATATCCTGGATATGAACAAAACCGAGATACAGCTCATAACCGCGATACTCAAATCCATGTAAACACACTCACTGGAATTAAAACCCAATAAAGACCCACTGTTGAACCTACACACTTGTGACAACTAAATGGTTTGAAACTCAAGAAGTATTAATCTTCCTAGAAGTTGACACTGGAGTTAAAGGCCTTCGATCAAAAGCTAATGTTGTGCAATAATGCTAAAAATGTATTTAGAAGTCTACAGGTTACATTGCAAACAGTATAATTAAATCTCAAAGCTACAGAGTTGAACCAGGCTATCCAGTTCATGGTGTCTTCATATCGTGAAGCTAGTTAGCCTTTATTAAAGTTAGCCACTTTAGATGATCTTTGAAGAAATTAAGGGATTAGCTCAAAATGCTAATAATCTCTGAGGGTTAAACCAGCTGGTTGGAAAAGCAAAATAATACATTAGAGTGCTGCAAACACACCAGTCCCATTTAGCCAGCTAACCAGTGAGCGTTAGCTGAATTAATCTGGAAGCTAACAGGCTAGCAGCGGCTAACCCCGTCGACCCTGGTTCCCACTGCTCTCTAGCCCAAAGCTAACACACACGCTAATAAAGGTTCACGGTGGCTTAAGTTGAGTAATTATAGCATCATCAGCACACAATGACACTTAACTTACAGTCCCACAAGAATTTATAAATGACATATTAGGCTTAACTTGAGTAAACTGGATCGAGGCCCACCGTGGCCCGCTACGATGCTCATTAGTTCCATTATCGGACGCTGCGCTGCTCACTTCAGACGGTTACAATCCTGTATTTCCGTGTTACTTGGGAAGTTAAGCTACTATTTAATGACAACTACGCTTACATTTGGATGTATCGTTTTACATTTTAAAACCATTTACAAGTCATGTTGTCAGTGCAGCAAAGATCGTTTATGTAAGTGTTGACCTGGCGTCCCGCTTGTCGTGTGATGGACAATCACCTCTGCGGCGCTACATCCCTGTCACACCTGTGCGTCCATTATCGGACAAGCTTCACCCCCCCCTAACCCTAATTCATCCAATTTATTTCATATTAGCAGTATTGAAAGACAAAAAGAGTATTATAATTCCGCAACAAGCATGTCTAAATGAACTAAATATCAGAAGAACAAACAGGTTTAAAGTGACGGACGGCCTGTTGAACAGATATCTAACCTGCAGCCACAAAATGAGGAAAAACCTCTTCAAATGTAGAGAAGCACATTTGTTCGTGTGTTCAATATAAGTGTACACAAAGAGTTTAAAATGTAATGTTGTGAGAGAAAAAAGCGGGTCAGACAGGGACGTGTCCGATAATGGACGCATGTCCCTTAGCTCCCCGGTCTCTCCAGACAAAGACAGCAGCTAGCCTGCTAGGCTATCCCCGGGACAGCTAGCAGGCTAGGCTAACCCCGGGACAGCTAGCAGGCTAGCCCGCGTTTGAGAAAGAGTGGGTTCAAATCCCCACCGAGAGATCCCGCTTCATCATGTCCACTTACCCCGTGTGTAATCCCGTTCCGACAAACGTTCATGTGCACTCCATAGGCGCCAATAATCCCAGTTAGACCAGTGAGGAGACGCTAACAAACTGGTGGATCGAACAGGCAGAGCAGTCAGTCAACGTGCTCCCAGTTCACTGGACCGCAGCCATCACACGGTCACATCCCGGAGAAAACGGGCAAACAGCGGGGATCACCGACATTTAGAAGTCACTGCTCGGTCCTGGACGAAGGTAGAACTACTCCCAGGTATTCCATGACCGGATGTGATATTCCTAGAGTTTCCAGATCAACGGTATCCCGGGAAAAAGACACGCAGACAGCAACAGACAGACAAACAGCACAGTGGGGCTAAATGGCTGTTAGGTTCCAATGCAGCCAAAACCCGGACACTGGATCACAGCTGCCCCTGGACCGGGACTGGGTAACTGGATTCATGTAACAGAGTGGATCTGGAGTCAGTGCATTGAAGTCACACTGGATCGTAAACATATGTCTTTCAGTGTTATTGTAACTTATTTAAAATACAAATAAATGAAAAAATGTATACATACGCACAGTTTCTTATTTTGTGTGTCAGAATATTTTACCATGGCGAACATTTTAAAATAATCCGGTTTATTGCCAAGATAGTTTCCCCTAATTTCTTTTGGTATATTCGTCAAAACAATACAGAAAGTAAGTGGAAAATGAAAGAGAGAAAGATGTGAGAGACAACAACTGCAAGTCAATAAGCAGAAAAATAAAGTGATAGTGAAATATATAAAAAAAAATTTTTTTTTTTTTTTTTAAGGAAGAATGTGCGACTTTTTGATCCAGTAGATGTCGCCCTTGATCACCAGCAAAGAAACCAAAACAAATTGAAGCATCCGCTCTTAACCAGTGACACACCAGTAGAATGTAAATATTATTGAAGCCTGAGTGAAGCGCTGGAGTCCCATCGATGGCGGTCTCCATGTTGGAAATGCTGTTTCAGTCTAACTTTCAGTCAACCTAAGGACAGGCTGAGAGCTGGAGCTGAGGCGGGTTTTAAGCCTCTTGACAAACCGTTACACTGCGTCCACCTGTCAATCAGGTCAGCTACACGCCTTATTGTGAATAACTCTTATCCTTCATCAAATCAAAACTGATGAGTCATCAAAACATTCACCCCCCCCCCCCGTACAGTGTGTGTCGATCGAGACATGAGCTAATCAGACCTATTTGTTTTTTTGAGCCAGGCTGTAAACATGTTAATCCCTGCTGTAAAAACAGGCTTTTTAGAATGGGTGTGTGTGTGACTTCCTGTGCTTCTGCAGCCAGAGTGGACACTCGAGGAACTGCAGGATTTTACACTTCAGCATCGGCTTCAGTTTTTAACACCGGAGGTTGTTGCTTGGACACACCTCCAACCCCCCTTCCCTCGCGTTTGCATGAAGGAGTTTTCAAGTATAACGCACCATAATTTAGTACAAGCTTGTCCTTTGCTCGGGCTGCAACAGCCTGTTGCCTGGAGTTGCCCCCTGCTGGTCATTAATAATAACGCAGGTTTATGTCACCTCCGAAATACCTTTGGTATCAAAGGGTTATAAAATGGATTCTCATTTCATTTCAAAGATTGATCTGTTGATGTGAACAAAGGAGTGTGTGTGCGTGTGCGTGGGAGAGAGCTGATCACTTGAAATTAGAGTGTGAATCAATCAGGAATACGTCTGCGTGGCGATTCAAAGTGACAGTTTGTCAGGATGTAAACAGACAGATCAGCTGGATGAGCAGCTCAAAAATGAGAGCGGAGCAGTGTACACACGCACTCCATCGCTGGCCCTGACCCCTCCCCCCTTCAAAACAAGACCTCCATCAGACGCCATTTATGGAAAGACGATACAGACAGAATAAAAATAATAAAACTTTATTTTTTTAATGTGGAGTCGTTCAGAGAATAACAAGCAGACTTCAGAATGAATGAAGTCCCCCACGGCTTTTCATCACAGCACACACACAGACACACACTTTCTCTCTCTCACGCACACACGCGCACACACACACACACACACGCACACACACACACACACACACACACACACACACACACACACACACACACACACACACACACACACACACACACACACACACACAGAGGACATGGTGTCCTGAATTGTCGAACGTTTCTTTGAGTTCTGCCTCTGGCGCCCGGTTTCATCAGCATTCAGAGGAGAAGCTGCAGAATAAAATTAGTGTGTTTTATATTCTAGTCATTTCTAACCTGATTTTATTCTGAGACCAGCACAGTTATTATTATTTTATATTTTGCCTCCACTTTCCAGATCAGCTGGGTTCAGATGAAGTCCGTGAAAGAGAAGTCAGAGGGAACATGACGGAGAAGAAGACGTCGACTAGAAGCTTTGAGTGAACTCAGTTTGTAAAAGAAGAACAAGAGAATGTTTCTTTATTATGAAATGAACGCCCCGCCAGACAGGATCAGCAGAGCCAGAAGGGCAGAGCAGCGCTGTGTGTGTGTGCATGTCGGACACTGTGTGTGTATGTGAGAACAGAGAGCACTGTCCTTGTGCATCACACATTTTGGTCCTCTTGTAAATGCCACAGACCAAACTCCATGTAATGAAGCAACAAGGTAACAAACTGATCCATCATTCAGACCAGAGCAAACGATCTACAGATGTTAAAACGCCCTAAGAGACCTGAACCTCTCTCACACAAACTAATTTCCTGACACTGTCTGAGTGTGGTGAATGTGTGAATTCAAATATCTGAATCTGTTGATCCTGCAGCTCGCTGTAAAGGATTCGGTGTGAAGTCAGGGAGCGTAAATGTGTGAACGCAGAAGGTAATATTTTAAAATATTCACAGCAAACGGGGTGACGAGAGAGTACAAACGATATAACGTAAAACTACTGCGACCTTGAACTTGTTTTATTTTATTTTAATCCAGCTGAACAAAATGTGTTTGGTCGGAGCAGCTGGAGCCAGTGTGGAGCTATTTTTAGCTTCCTGTTTGAAATGTTTACGACTCTGAGTTTTGAGCGGGAAGTTTGTGGGGTTTTCCCAAACTCTTTGATACGACCCGAGGGCTTTTATTTTTATGGCAGTGTGTAGACATGTGAGAGCTTGATGACTTCTTGGTGTGTCTTTGTCTTCTTCAGAGGACGTCCATGGTGCAAAGTGTGAGTATATATGAAGCAGTGTGCGGGAGCAGCTTCCTCCTTGGCTCGATAAAATCTCTCTCCATTACTTCATTATCAGCGTTCATTAAAAGCGGAGTTTAATAATCAGTCGAGGTCGGTGCACAGGTAAACAATCAGCGGACCAAACCAATCCAAAATCTTCAGGAAAAAGGAGAAGGCAGGCAAGGTAAAAAAAAAACACAGGAAGGCTCTCTGGAAGAAAAAGGCTGGAAGAAGGAACACGCTGCAACTAGAGAAACACAAGAATAAGAAATTACAAAATGAAACAGGAAACACTAAAGACGGAAGAAGGAAACATTCAAATGAGGAAACAAGCAACACCAGGGATGAATGAGACAAAATAAAACCAGACAGAAAATCTAAACTCTGAGAATATTCAAAATATGAAACTCAATAGGTACGCCCTCATCCTGATTTTGAGAAACCTGATTCTTCTACCTGGAGAACTCAGAGAGAAAACGATATGCTGCGGCATGTGAACGCCTGACCCCGGTGTCAGCCAAACAAACATGGCGACGGCAACAAGAGCGTTGAAGATGTTAATATTTATCTCCCTGCCCTTCCACATGCTTACGTGGAAAGCATTAGGCAGGAACAGCACACACTCCTGCTCTTCCTGTGCATATAAGGAAAGCCAACGCAGGGAGAATCAACGACGACATCATGGCGTGATTAAGTCAGACACAGTGGAGGAGCTGGCGTGGAGGACGGTTACAAATGCAGCTTGCAGAGGGAGCGGAGGCAGGAGAGAGCAGCTTAAAAAAGGCGGCATGAGTGAGATTAGTCAATATGCTTTGAAGCGAATCAGCTGATGAGGGCGTGCATGAGATCAGCTGTTATCACTGGCAGGAAAGCAGAGCGTGACTCCATGACCTGCCTGAGCTAACGCGATACGCCCACTTCCACAAACACACGGGGGAGGACTTGGTGGCTTCGTCCATTATTCACTCAGTCAGTGTTCCTGACAAAAGAGCAGAATGGGGAAAAAAAAGACGACATGCCGAAAGTTTTCCTCCGATTATATCACCCTAACGGACTTCCATAAACATATTTTACTACACCCACCCAAACATGGCCGCCCCACCTGAGTCCATGATCGTCTCTCGGATGGAGGAAGAGGACTGAGGTAGTTTAGTTTCACCGCAGCTACACATGCCAAGAAACACAGACTGTTTGTCTGCGAGCTTCTCTCCTGCTCATAACCCTGTCTCTGAGCCGGACGGGAAGAATCCCACGTCTACTCTCTTATGCAGCTTCATTTTGACCATGTGCAGGAAGCAGGATGTTACCTTTTTTCCTGCTTGTAAAGGCAACGTTCAGTTTCATGTCATAACGTAGCTGTAAAATATATCTACATTTTTAGTGTTCAAACTATAAAATCATGACAAGTATAAATGTTGCTTTAGAGACGGTGAAGTGTTTGAGTGAGCGCCTTCTCACCTCATTAACAATTAACAGAAACCTTATCTGCTCCAGTGACATAAAGAGGGGTACATCTCCATGGTGATGACCCCCCAGACCTGCAAACACACACACACACACACACACACACACACACACACACACACACACACACACCTCGATGGTCCAGCAGGCAGTTCAGGTTAGTATGAGAGGAGCAGCAGCATGCACAGGTCGTACCAGCCGCTGAAACCTGTCACAAACCGCTTCCTGCAGCAGAGATGGGACCACAACGACTACGACAACCACCGCCGGAAGGTGAGAGGGCGAGGGGGATGGTGGAGGAGTGCCGGTCATTCCGGATGATGTGTTGGTGTTGCTGATGGTGTTTGTTTTTCTCCTGAAGTCACGTTTAATGGTGTGAGTTTCTGTGAGATCTCGTGTCTCTGGAGTTGTTACTACAAACAGCAGGTGTGTGGTGTAGTGGTCAGGATGAATCGTCTTGTGCGCGTTCAGAGGATTATAATGACGGTTGAAACTGTCCTCATGTTTAACTTCTGTTCAGATTTGAAAATTGTCTACCATGTAGGTGATTTTGGTTGCAGATTGGATGTGTCCTCTGTAGAATGTGCGTCGCTGTAGTTAGGCTGCTTCCTCACCTTTCACTTTGCACTCACCTGTGATTACCTGTCCAGGTGACCTCCTCCCTGCCTGTAGTGGACACCAAGGGCTTGAGGACCCCCGCTCACGTCCAGCTCAAACTCAAAAAACAGCAGGTCAGTGTTCAGACGCACATAAT